TTTAAATTTTACATATAAAACATGTGCCACATACATTATTATTAAATAATAGGCAATGAATGCACCCCGACCTAAAAGATCTATTGTTCGCCTAACACATACATACATGTATATCAAATTTTGGTCATTTACCTTGTGAGGAATTTAGTTCTAAGGGTTGCATTCGACATGGCGAACTTAAATGAGCTGATTTATTGATAAAAAGCTCATTAATATGAAATATATTTGTATGAAAGATCAACCTCATTTATGGCTATAGTGAGCAAAACCGCCTCAATGAGACAATGTGAATGTGCAATGAGTGAACACTGTAAAACTGACCCATTAACTTTTTTAAGGAAAAATTGCTGACTCACGCAAGTTAAAGCGAAATCTAAACATGCTATAAAATAATATTACAATTATGTTTAATGGCCGTGTGAGAGTTCGAGTAAATTGATGGTAAATTGAAAGAAATAGAATAATTATGTCGGTATGGCAGTGAATGTTGTTGCGAATGCAGCGAATGTTGTTGCGAATGCAACGAATTCTCCAGAATTTCGTGCAGGATAAATAAAAAAATAATTAGATAAATTAGGTGTTACCACTATGAAAATTTTATAAGATTTTTAATAAATAAATAAATAAATTTGAAATCTATTAACCAAAAATAATAAATAAGTGCAATAAATAAATATTTGCTTAAGTGCAGTGCAAAAAATTCTTAGAAATTTTAAATTTACTTTACCTCAATTTACTCAAACTCGCACACGGTCTATATTATTATGTGGTTTAATTTACTTGTAGTATTTTACATTATATAGTCTACTCGTACAGACTAGCCCTATATAAATTAAATATAAATATAATATAAATTAAAACTTATCCTTATAAACTAATCATTAAAATTATTTTTTAGTGCTTTTTATTTGGTTTCACAAAATAATAAATAAATAATAAATCTAATATATTCCCGGTCCACATAAAAAAATTCTCTTTTTCATATATGGGTAAAATAATTCTATTAATTACAATATAAGTATTTTATGTACACAAAATTTTTCACAGTGTAACGCTGTATTATTGTAATAAATTTTACACAATTATTATACCAATCTGAAATACAAAAACGTACACGTTATATAAAATATTTTATTTAATATTGTAATAAATCTAATTATGAGTGATTTAAACACATTAATTTTTAATTTAAAAAAACGTAATAATTTTTGCTTTGATTTTATACAAAATACTATCTTCATATTATTCCTATAGATGGCGCATAACACAGTTGGTGCCAACTTTTTTTTCAAAATATAGCAAAATTCTATTAGTTTAAAAGAGATAACTATACTTTACGTATAGTCAATAAAAACTAATATAATTCAATTGTCGTGTTGTCTGACATTTATAAACTATATTACCAACAAGTAGACTGCCTTATCGTTGCTGTTGTCGTCGTGTTAACCAGCAAAAGAAATTATCACAGAAGCACAGAAATAACCAAATATAAATTAAAAATTTTCAACGAGTGTGTGAAAATTTTTAATTTATTTGTATGGTATATTTAGTAGGTAAATATTATATTGAATAATTTCAAATAATGAATAGCAGTTGAAAGATTGCAAAACGTTTTGTGCTTTATTGAAAAAGTAAAGTAAGAAATTGTGTGCGATTTGTGTGTCAACGATTGGTCAAGTCTAGTGCGGGTAGGGCGAGGCGAAAACACAATCATTAAGTGCTCTGCGAAGAACTGGAACAGGTTAACAATATAAAAACTCCAATCATCGAAACATATTTGTAATAATTACTTGCAATTTATGAAATAAGTGACGAAATATTTTTAACCCTTTTTTTCTTTTTTTTTTGTGCCAAGTGCGAGCGGAGCTTGGTTTTGTGCGAGGTGGTGTAACAGAGTGTCAGGCCATAGGCCAACAGTGTACGGAAGCAAAGTCTTGTTTTCTTATTGTTTTATTTCTGAGTCGTTTTTAACAGTGTAACGTAGTTTGTTTATTGTCACGTTAAAAAATTTATATATTTTTTTTTTGTTTAAATTTTGTTTAAAAAATTATTGAACTACTTTCATGCGTGTCAAGGACGCCGTCTAGACCACATTTTGCTATTCCGTCTCTAATCAATCCGTGTAATTACGTTTAAAGCAAATAATTTACATGTGTTAATTTTATTTAATTTTTTATATAAATTTTTTTTTTTTAACAAGTATTCTTTGCTTGAATGAACATTGAACTTGTACGCATTTTAAATTTTCTATTTTTTCTATTTTGATTAGAATTCTTTGTTTCTTTTGTTACATTTTAAATATAAAAAAAATAAAGTGAATTTTTTTTTATCTTTGGTATTGAAAAGTGAACAACTTTCACTTAAAAAAAAAGGAAAATAATTTAACTAAAATTTAACTTTACTTGCATTTTTACCAAAGCATTCTCCTACCAAATCGAGGCAGTTAAGATTTGCTCAAAGCTTCAATAAGGAAAAGTCAAGTGTCAAAAAATATCTAGTCTGTTTGTCATTATTAATAATAAATTGCATAAAACTCTTTTCTAAAACTTATTTTTAAATTTTCTTTCCATTTCAGCATAACAACTCTTTAATTATATTACCTTTTCCCTCTGCAATAAAAACAAAACAAAAAACACAAAAATGTTCATCTGGGACTGGTTCACTGGTGTTTTAGGTTACTTAGGTAAGTGGACATAAGTAAGATTTGCAAATATTTGGTGTTCGCAACGCTTTTATTAAAAAACATTTTAATCTTTAATAAACAAAGAACGTATTCTGTAATTAGTAAATATTCATAATGAAATTGTTGAAAAGTTGCCAACAAAGCAAAAATTAATAAAAAAAAATAAGGTGAATACTTGACAACGATCATCAGCTGCTTTATATACAGAGACATACATAATCTTCTTATGAATACTACATATATAAATATATTTATATAGAACACAATGCCATAAATGACTGTGGATTATAAATTTCATTCTTTGATTCTAGTGGATTTGGCATATGACGAGAAGAGTGTGCTGAAAAGCATGGCAAAACACAAAATGAGCAGAACTGCCAACAGAATGTCAATAGTCTTCTCTAATGTGCTAGTTAGATGTGTCAGTGTCTTACTTAGATTTGTATCTGTATACAGCGACATCTCAGACAATCGTAGGGTAGACCAAACTTGTCAAAGCAGGACTCTGCTCTATGATATTTATTTCTCAGATATTGATAATCCACTTGTAACGGCCGAGCTGGCAATCAATATACCTGAGCATCACTAAACAAACTTGGGAAATTTAACCCTTTCTATCAGAACTTTAAATCGATCTGGCCCAAACGGCACCAGTCAGGTTTTTGAACTAAAGTGTAATCTGATCGGGATTAATGTATCGCTGCTGACTGTTCACTGCGTACTAAGAAGACATGCCATAACCTGCATCTACCATTTAATGACTTTCCTATAAGAAGGAAATTGTAATCCACTTCATGTTTCAGTGTCCATAATGCACCAAGAGAGGTTTTAAAATCTTTGGACTCCTTTTCTTACCGACTTATTAAAGCTATTGCAAAATAAGGGACTTAGCCAAATTCGTAGATTTGTCAAATTGTTTCACTAAAGCTTGATGCAACAATCATGCCTTTCGGAATTGTTTGTACGCTAACCTTTAGATTTAGACTTAAGCGGACCGCTACTAATTCATACCATTAACACAATGGGTCCATGAAATATTGCAAATCACGATATTGTTATTTCAAAAGTTATTGGTAGCAGTCCTTACAAAATATATAAATGATTTTAACGAACCTTATAAAATTTTATTAAAGATAGTAACGAGTTCACTTATTTTTTAGTGTTTTTTTTTTGTTTGGTTCCACACAAGCTCTAAATAATATAAATAATACATTGAATATATTTCCGATTTACTGAAAAAACCGGAAACACTGGCTTTGGCTTGAAAAGCACTGGTGTAGAAATATAACCTTGTAAAGTAAAAAAATGTATCAGTAATATGAAGGCTAGAATAATAAGATAAGATAAGATAAGGAGACCAAAAATGACGTAAAATAATTTAGAATCTAATTTTGTGATATAGTTAAATTACAATTAGTTAAATTACAAATACTAAAAATTAAATAATTATCTGATTTTGTAGGTTTATAAGAAAGATTCTGCCTTTTTATATTCACTAATCGTGGATTTTAAGATCATTCTTAAGATGTCAAACACAAGTCTTCTAGATTTCTTAATGATCTTTAACATTATATAGAAGTTCTTACATTATATGTAATATATACAGTTAAATTTAATGGAGTGCCATTCGTGTTGAAGACTTCTAGATTTCTTAATGATCAATATAAGGTAGCTTATAGTTTTATGTTGTAAACAATATTAGAGTTCTCTAATATCATCTTGATATCTCCTTTTTTATACTCTATTGTATTCCTTGTAGTTGTTTTTATTGAAACTTCTCTTATGATTCGAGACTAAAATAATTATGAAATCTTTAAATTAATTATAAAAATCTCTGTTGTATATTTAAAATTATATTGTATAATATTTTATATAGATGGTTGCTTCCCTTTTAGTTTAGATTACATCTATTGATTTCCTTTTACAGTAATCAGTTGTGATCATTTCTCTTAAAATTTTGTTAATAATCTATAATATCTAAATAATGAATAAGATTTTTTCTAAGTAAGCAGTGAAGCCCTTAATTATAGTTTCTTAAAGTTCTATGAGTTTTTACTAGTTTCTATTTCAGTATATTAAACTGATTCTTTTACTAGAAAAATGGTTGTAATTTAAAAATTAACTGAAAAACTAATCTCAGCATTCTGTTATAATTGAAGAAGCTTAAGTACATTTTCTATAATGTAAAGAATTTCCAAACCATCGAATTAACTATCCATCTTCCAATGGTGTAAGAACACGTCATATAAATAAACCAAACAAACAGCTTCAGCTTGATAAAAAATTATGGTAATAAGATATGAACGAAGAAGAATTTGTTAATAAAGATAATAATGACGTGTTGCAAATTACTAATTCCGTTAAACCTATAATATATAATTAAATTTAATTGATTCTTAAGAATTTTGTTTTTTACAATTTTAATAATTTAACTTGGTAAACATTTTTTTAAATAATTAAAAAAATTAAGATTATCAAGAACATTTTTTTTTATTAAATGTTGAGACAGCACTTTTAACTGGTTTTCAAGTTCATTGCCATTTACCAAGTATTTTTTGTAACATTTTTTTTTTAAATAAGATTCTTGCTTATTTAATTAGTTTTATTATCTCATTTATTAATATTGTTTCTTTTAAGGATTATGGAAAAAGTCTGGAAAACTATTGTTCCTGGGTTTGGATAATGCTGGTAAAACGACATTATTGCATATGCTCAAAGATGACAAGTTGGCACAGCATGTTCCAACATTACATCCCAGTAAGTTCTACATTATATAAAATACATTTTTTTATATATAATATAATAATTATATTGATATAATTTAGCATCGGAAGAGCTGTCAATTGGAAATATGCGTTTTACTACATTCGATTTAGGAGGTCACACTCAAGGTAAGTTTAATTTTATTTCAACTTATGTGGATAGGATGGGGATGGGGTAAAGTATGCCATCAGATAGATTATAGTCTCTAGGGCTAAGAACCTTTTTGTTTTGGTGTTTCTCCGGTGACTAGCCTTCACCGTGTTCGGTTACTGTCATTAGACAATACACCGTGGACCGATAGCCATGTATGTGATTATGGAGCCATGACAGTGACAAAACTCCAGTTAGCAGATAACTGAAGGTTATCAGATTCAGGTTAACAAATTCAGAATACTGTTTATTTTAAGTATATTTACTTTATTATTATTTTAATCACTACTTAAGTCGATTAAGTTTGTTTTAAATATTTTTATCTAATCTAAAAAGTTGAGATGTTTTTTATAAGAAGTGCAGTTATGAGTTTAATTCAAATTAGTAATATAGTTGCAGATATTATTTATAAATGTGAATAAAAATTATTTAGAAAAATAATAGTGTATTTTTATAGTCTAATAAAAAATATATTTAAGTTATTAAACAAAGTTTAGAAAATGTATAGTCATAAAAAATTCTCGAAAATTTATTAAACACTATCTCATTGGTGATATCAAGCGATGTCGCCACATTTAAATAAGCACTATTGGCATTTTTGGGCATATTTTTCTTTAAAAATATAAACAGATGAACATAGCTTAGTGACAAATTCTTTGAATTGATTAGAAATAGATTGTCTAAGTCCGTTATACGATGCTTAGCTTGAATCCGTAAATAATTACTATTTTACATATTTTCATCAACTACTCGACTGTATGTATATAAAAACTTATTATCATTGTGGATAGGCCAGCAAAGCAATAAAGTGCAATATGCAAACAGCAATGCTCATCAGCAAGCACTAATGCATTACTCAAACAATTAATGTAATTTTTTTTTATTAATTAATAATTTAGTTTTTGAAACGGGCTGATTGGTCAACAGCTAAATAATAGACTTTTTTAAAAAGCTTTTATTTAAACCAATAATTCGACTATATTCTAAAGTCATATACGGAGTACTACAAATTTCAGTACTGCACAATTTCAATATGAATATATGATTATTTATTTATTGTTTACAGCGTTGCTTTGTCTTTTTATAGATTTCTAAGCACATTGCTGATCTAGAATATCTATTTCCATATTAACCAGAGACCTACTTACTTTATCACTAAAAAAAATTGCCTTCTTTTTAGTTTTATTATTTATTTGGCTGGCACATTTCATTTTTAAATATTTTCCAAACAAAGGAATATTTTAATATTTAATTACATTAAAATAAAAATTTTATTTTAGATTATGTAAATCATTGGATTGCGTAATTTGATTACTTAATTTCGCCTTCAAGTAATTATAGTTATCATTAAAAATACTACAAAGAACGAAGTGATTGTCTATTTTCTAGTAAGAGCTTTCTTGTAGTTAAGGTTAAAAACCTGTCTCATTTTTGTCATATCAAACACCAAACACCACCTAAACAACAAATGCCGATAACCAAAATAATGAAATATCACATTCACTAAATGATTAGGCAAATATTGTTTACCAAATACTGATATACTAAAGGAAAAGTAAAATTATTATTTGCACGTACTTCTCGTATTAATAATTAGAATTAAACTCAATAATTGATAAGAAGTATAAAATGCAATGTAACGTGCTTTAAAAAAATATACATATATTTATTTGATTAAATTATATGTATATATGTATCATTATCGTATCACCCTAAGAGACGACGACGTCGACGACTCGTTTCGGTAGATAATTTTGATAATATATTTTAATATGTAATTTTAACTAAAAATAGTATAAATTCATAAACAACAAGTTATCAACTAATGACAGAAATTATAATAAACTATATCAGTGTAATGAGTTAGAGATAATTTATTACAGAAATTTTAAAGTCAAAAAATACTGCTCTATCACTTTAAATATATTTCTATTATTTACTCATATTAATAAATATTAATTAACGACTCGTTTCAATAGATAATTTTGATAATATATTTTAATATGTAATTTTAACTAAAAATAGTAACAATTCATAAACAACAAAGTATCAACTAATGACAGAAATTATAATAAACTATGGTATATCAGTGTAATGAGTTAGAGATAATTTATTACAGAAATTTTAAAGTCAGAAAATACTGCTCTATCACTTTAAATATATTTCTATTATTTACTCATTAATAAATATTAATTAACAATAATGTTAATAAAATAATTTATAGCGACATACCTTTAGCAATAGCTAAAAGTTTAATGAAATAGAATAACTAATTATAATTAATAATTATAACTAATAATTATAATTATAATTAAACTATTGTGATTATTATTAATTATCACTTGTTAAATTATTTTATCAATATTTAACATTACATATGGTTAAGCTTTTTTTTTGTTATATTATCAGTTAATTCTTCATTTTTTTGAGTGCTGTTGGCTGGCACTTTATTCTAATATTTTTTTTTAATATTCTTGCCCTTATACCCTTATATTTCTGATTCTTATTGTTTTTATTGCTGTTAAATGGCACATTGACTATTGTTTATTTCGTTAAGAAGTTAACACTTATCATTTTACAATCATTGTATTTGCTTGCATAAGCACATTTGGATTTTAGTTATTCCCATAACTCTAGAAACAGCTACAGCGAACTACTTTTAATAGGATTAAGAAGATAATAACCGACTCCCCGCATGCTTTGAAGACTATTCTGGAAAGCGACTTTAACAATTGTTTTTAGGAATGAAAGTAAAGTTAGCATAAGTATATTGCAATCTGGAGAAGATTATTGTGAAATCGTTTTTGATCACAATATTATATATATTAATGATTATAAGTGTTCGAGTGGCTGTAGTATACTGAACCTGAACCCTTTTTCCAGAATTGGAAGATATGTTATCATAACTATATTGTAATTGGGAGAAGATTATTGTGAAGTCTTATTTGATCACAATGTATATTAATGATTATAAGTGCTCGAGTGGCTGTAATATACTCGCATTCGAATATCTCGAACAAACACTTTAAATATTTAAAAATGTTTATAATCAATATAGGGACCCTTGAACCATTTTCACAGAATTGGAAGATATGTTAGCATAACTATATAGTATCGGGAAAAGATTATTGTAAAGTCATTTTTGATCACATTGTTATATGAGTGGCTGTAGTCTACTCGCATTAGAATCTCTCGATAATTGACTTTAAATATTCAAAAATGTTTATAATCAATATAGGGACCCTCAACAGCATTCCAACGCATTCTTAATATTTCTCTGTCTTTCTTGTAAAACAATTTCGTTTTATCGCGAACTCGGTAATAATAATATATGATACTCTATTAATATTTTTTATTTTAAAAATTAATATAAATTTTATTAGGATTTATGAAATTATTTATTGTTAGTTTTATTATGTTTAGATGTGGCATATAAGTAAATAAGCATATACGATTTTAAAATAATTGTTTCCGTAAAGGATATGAATATAAAATAAATTATAAATATAAGAATAATAATATTTAAGCTATATTAAATTAAAGTAAAATATATTCTGAATTATTAACAATAATAATTATATTATTATTATTTTTGCAACCATTTGTTTATAAATTGAAATATATTAAAACCCACATTTTTTTTAATTAAAATAGTAATAATAATATTTTTTAATTTAATTTGTTTTTCATATGTCTTTATAGCTTCTAACAGTAGTCACAATAATTCTAATCATATATAATTATTTAAGTTTCTTAAACATCTGGTTTTACTTAAAACCACTTAATTAAAAATTTAAATGTTCTATATAACTTGTATAAGATATATTTATTATCTTATACACATGTCTTACACTGTCTCTCCATAGTGTTACTTATATGACTATATTCTTGCCGATGAATTCTTGTCCAACTGACGCGTTTATTGATTTAATAATTAATATTTAATTGTCATTAAATGTATTCATATAATTAATTTTACATTTAATATGTGTGAACTTAAACAAATGTATTATAAATAGTTAACTAAATACATGGCATCGCTGAAGTATTAGTTAGAATTGACTAAGTATCATTTAGTCGGTATTATAAAAGTGTGTGCGATATACGTATGTACTTTTCGTTCACACTAAAAGTTACCGACTTCATTTTTTGTTGAATATTGGCAACCCTAATTATGAGTATTAATATGGATTGAGTTTATACAACATTTAACATAGTTCAGTTGCTATTAATTCACATAATTCTTGATTCGCTGTGTACGTTTATAAATTCGTGTTAAGTCAAATCGATTCAAATAAGACAGTTTAAACTGTGGTGTAAACATGGTAATAGATTCTCAAAAACTCTGCGGCGAAAGATGTACTTTTTCGAAAACGCCTATTAACATTTTATATAATTATTTTAATATAAACATAAATAATTTGATTTTTATTAAAACTATTAACAATAATAATTATTTGGATTATATTCAAGGACATGTCCGCGGCTCAAAGTTCAAAGGATTCAATTATGAAGATTTGCAGATTATAAAATTTAAATAAAATATAAATAATAATATATGAATATCAATTTATAATTATTAAAACCAACAATTATAGATTTTGTGCATAAAGGTCTTAGCCTAACCCATGAAAGCATTACCAACCGAAACAGATCTATGGTCATGCAAAAAATTTACCTGGTTAAAAATTAAGTTTTTGGCTTAATTATGAATAATTAGTCGCAGTATTAAAACGGGTCTTCGATCATATCAAGAACTTACCCTATTAAAATATTTTTTTCGAGATAAAAATTATCTCAATATTACCCTCTTTTCTACTCGAAAGAGAATTCCTGTCATAAGACAAAACATTTAATTATTTATAATAAATAAACTTTATTTTATATTTTATTTTATTTATTTATTTTATATTTTATTTTACTTATTTATTTTTCTACTAATTATGATCACAATTTCTCTCTCTCTCTCTCATTTCAGCACGTAGAGTTTGGAAAGATTACTTCCCAGCTGTAGATGCAATTGTCTTCTTAATAGATGCCTGGGATCGTGGCCGTTTCCAAGAAAGTAAAAATGAATTGGATGTTTTACTAACAGACGATGCGCTGTCAAATTGTCCCGTCTTAATATTGGGCAACAAAATCGATAAACCCGGTGCAGCCAGTGAAGATGAACTAAGGAATGTGTTTGGTCTATATCAAGTGACCACTGGCAAGGTAAACCCATATTTATTTTAAACAAAACAACAAAAATACTAAAAAAAATTTTATTTCTTATTTTTTATACAGGGTAAAGTAGCACGTTCAGATCTACCCGGACGTCCTCTAGAGTTATTTATGTGCTCTGTGTTGAAAAGGCAAGGTTATGGTGAAGGTTTCCGTTGGTTAGCGCAGTACATTGATTAAAAATTAGGAAAACATGTAACAATGAAGATTTTTTTTAAAAAATTAATATAATTATACAACAACAATGTACATATTGCATGATTGCATAAAAAGAAATTTACCATAAAATGCGGGCTGTTTTAAACAACCATAAATTTAACAACAAAATAATAGGGATTGGACGCATTTTTATCTATACCGTAAAATAACAACAACTGATTAAAATTCAATAATAAGAGTTGTATTATATTTTTTTTTCCATTTTAAAAAATTTTTTTAAACACAAAACCAACATTCGAAGAATTTTTCTTTGCAATTTTTTTGTTTAAAATCTTAAATACTTTTTTTTCCAAATTAAAATATTTTTTAACTTATGCAGCCATAAATATTTTTGGGATTATTGTTGGTTGCATTGTCAACTTATCAATTTTCTATACTCAATAAATGTATTGTTTTAATTAATTATTTAATATATTAATTAAAACTATACAAAAAATTATTTTTAAACATTCGATTATGCGATTTCCATTTTATTTTAATTAGCTTAAATTTTATTTTTTCTATATTATTTTTCTTCTCGTTTTTATGTTAAAAAAATTAAATACTTTTAATAAATTTTATTTTTAAAAAATTTAAACTATTCCACATATCGTAAATCAGTTAAATATAGAATTTTTATATATAATGGAACTGTTGTAATGTAGGATTTTATTTTCGAAAAATATTGTATATGTGTTTAGATATGTACACATAGATATATCGGAAATTTATCTCACCAGCCGAAGGTTCTGTACTTGTCGATTATCCCAGCGAATATATTATTTCATCTACATATTAGAAATGAATGTTCTAAACTTTATCTAAAGCTTTAAAATACCTGGTTTATTTATTGAAATCTATCTATATATCTAT